CACTAATTTTTCCTACAGTCTTACTCTATTCTTCAGTGAGTTTTTCCAGTTGTTTCTTTACTTCAAGAATGTCCATTTGCTCCTTCTTTATAACTTCTATTTATCTATTAAAATTTGCTGTTTTCTTCATTTTTTCCATTTTTTAAAGCATAATGTCAATGTTGACACTAGCTCCATTTTGGGCCTATAGATGGACATCTCTTGAAAAATCTGATTTTTGATTGTTGTGGACACTAAGAATGCTAGCTAGTGTTGAACATCAAGATTTAATCTAAGAAGTGTTGATTTGCAGATCATCTTGATACTTCAAAGTTTGTTTCAGTCTCAGATAGGGCGGATAGAGGACTATTCTCTGTGGACACAGTTCTACCACAGCATGGGTTTTCTGGGTCACTTGAATATCTGGGGCGTTCTGGGGGCTTTCTCTGCTCTTGCTGATCGGTACTTACTGCCTCCCAGTCCGGTGCAGGTTCTAGGAGTGGCCAGCTCAGCTCCCTCCCAAGTGTCCTTTGGGACACTTTCAGCCACCGTGGCGCAGCTTAGTAGCAGCGTCTGACTGGAGACCTGCGGGGCCCTCGTGTGGGTCCACGGATCTCTCCTCTGCATCACCCCCTTCTTTCTGCCGCCTGCCCCACGTGTGCTACCTTCCTCTGCAGGCCAGCACCCTCGTGTCTGTCCTCCCAGTTCAGCGAGGCACCCCTTCCGACTTGGCACCTGAACTGGTCTGCGGGCAGAAGGCCAAGGGGCGGCGGGGCTAGCTGCGGTGAGCCCTTTGCTCGGTGAGGCAGGTCTGCGCGGCTGGCTGCCCAGCGTCAGAGAAGTGACTTCAGAGGTTTGATCAGCGTGATATTGCCAGCTCCCCGAGGTGGGCAGCAGTGGAGTCTTCTAGAGGTGCATGTGTTTATTCCTAACTCATTCTTTAAACTTACCACAAAAATTTACTATTTCATACTGAAAAACCCAAGGATAGTTTTTAATGAGCAGTTTCATTGTTGTAGACAGCTGAGTCTGCAGTTCTGGCTAGTAGGTAGGGAGAGTGTGTGTACACTCCATTCTCTGGGGGCACTCATGGCAGCCACTAGTCTGAGGGCGAAGCTCATTCACAGTTTCACTTCAGTATGTATCTGTTTAACTCATACTGTGAACCCAGGCTCTGTGCTGTGTGCAAGGGTTATAAGAGTGAGAAACTGACCTAAGCAGCAGCCCTAGATTGTGCTGTGATGAGATGGTTCTTTATTTCTGACCAGCAGGCACCTCATTTCAAACACTCCCTTCACCCTCCCTCCCTTTCTTAGCCATTTCTTTATATTTAAATGTTCCTCGTGGATTGAGTGTTTTCTTTCACTGAACAAATCCTCTGTGGCCAGGCTCCGTTCTTGGTGCTGGTAGCGCCGGACTGGTGCTTGCTGGAGCCTGAGCCCGGCTTTAGGCCCTTCTCAGCTGGGGTGCATCTGCGGCACCTTTGCAAGTGCAGCTGGCTGTTCCCTTAAGGCACTTCTCCAGTCGGTGGTGCGTCTCGCCTGGTCTGGTCTCACCTCGCCTCGCCTGGCCTGGCGAGTTTCTTCTGCAGGACTTTGCTGGCAGTGTCTCCTTCATTTTGCTAGCGGCAGGTGTCAGCAGCTCCATCTCATGTTGCCATGCTGTAGTTTTAATTAACTTGAACTTTTTCATTGTTTTTGTACTCTTTTTCTGAAAAATCTAATGTGGATTAATACAAGGGTGGTTCCTATCAACAGGTTAGCCACAAAAAGAAATCAAAGTTAGCTAAAGTGGAGCTGCACAGGGGTCTTCTTTCGTCCAAGATAAACACAGTTGTTTTCTCTCAGGTGTTTCTATTTGAGGTTTTCTTGATACCTGCCACTACCTTCTCAGTGTCTGAGCTCTGCCCAGATGTTGCTCTGTACAGGCATTGCTAATCTCCACTTGCACTGCGCGCAGCCTTTCGTTATGTTGGTTTTAGTGACTTGACTGGTGTGAGAAGGTGACTTCATTTTTCTTAAGGAAACTATTCAGTAGTAAAATTTTTATATACTTTTTAAAAAGTTATAGCAACACTCATGATGAAAAAAATCTGTTCAGTAGAGGACACAGAAACGAGTGTTTTGTACTTTTTGCTAACTTGCTTTTTATACTCTTTGAAATTTAAAGTATTATTTTGGAATGAAACTCCAAATAATGCTTTCAGAGATAATTTTGGATTAAATATTAGTTCATAATTGAATTCCCAAACCTGATTAGTGACACATTCTCGGATTAAAATAATATCATGGCTGTTTTGATTTAGCGGGAAGGTTTGCATCCCACACGGCAGGTGCCAGGACAGAGCACACGGAATAGCTGTTCGTGGCCAAATGGGTCTGATGTGAGCAGCTTCACCCTTGTCTTTGTTACAGGCCAAGCCACGTGCTTTTCTTGTTAACACTGTGCTTAAAAGGGACGATGGGGACTTCCGAAAGAATGGAAGTCACTCACACGGACTTCCTCAGGAATGAAACCAGGTTGTCAGGAAGCTTCTTTACTCGGCTCTGTGTCCTTACTTGATCATACGGAAAGAACGAGTAACTGAAGTACTTGCCGGCATCGCGGGAGGCAGTGATGCTTGTGTGTCTTTCTGGATTCACACCCTGCGGTGAAACTAGGAAAGGACACGCCTCTCTGCCCCGACTGGTGAGGGAGCTGGTTGTGGCACAGTCACTGGCAGCTGGCAGGGGGAACAGCTTAAAGACAGTTCTCAGTGAGAGGGGCGTGGGGCCTCTGGGGATGATGACTGTACCCCAGTCATGTTCACTTATGACAGTGGTTTAAGTTACATGCTACAGACTGGCACTTTCTTCGACTCTTGCTTACCTACTATTATAGCAAGTTTAACTGCAGTGTAGAATAATGACATTGGTAACAGAAACAGGGGCTAATACTTTTACAGTGTTTATGTACCAAGTTCCAGTCTGGTGTCTACTAGTGATGTTTCTTGCTACTGAGTAACAAACCTGGGTGAATAGGATTAGCATAATAATACCTCTCTACTTCATCTAAAGGGGAACTTAGGCCAAAGCAGTGAAGTAGGTCTTTTTACTGTTTATTTAAAAGAGCTATTTGTTTATCAAGGGCCTCAGTTCTTTTCATATATATGTATTAATTGTCTTTTTCCCCAGTTCTTTGTGTTTTTAATGTGCAGATTTCAGGTCTCCCTCCCAAGCCCCCCACTATTTGACGGTTTGGACTTCAAATTTTGTTATTGCAAACAATACCAGGGCAAACATTTTATTCCCTAATTTTTTTTGCAGTTATTAATCAGTTATTTCCATAGGATAAATTCCTACAGGTTTTTTTTTTCTTTAGTTGGACAGTTTTTCCATATAACTGAATTGACTCAATAAATGGATTTTTTTTTTTTTGGACCAAGTAATGAGATGTTTAGGAGTTATCCCAGTGGGGCGGAGAGCAAAACATAAAAGGGAAGTTACCCCAACACACTTCATAGGAACATTGTCCTTTTACTCACCCAATAGATACTCGCTACTCATGTACTATGTACTGTAGGGTCAGTTAAGACCCTCCTGTTGTAATGAGGAAGGCAGAGGTCCAAAGCTGTGGTAAGGCAGGCGCTGTTCAGGTGTCACTGGAGGTGAGGGCGCGGCACTTGGAGTTTGGGAAGGTTGCTCTAGTCATCTTGAAGAAATAAGGGGTTGCAAGTGGGCAGAATAAAGATAGAGCGACTAGGAATCGATGCTCAGAGCTCATAGTGAGCATGGGGTAAGGGGAATGAGAAGTCATACGTGGGTGTCTGTGGAAGGTGAGGTAGCCCCGGGCAGCCGCAGGCAGGGGTGCTCTATGGCTGCGGAGCTCTGCAGCTGGTGCCCAGAGCAGTGACGCTGACACTGGAAAGGAGAATCTGCCACCGTCTGAAGCAGAAGTGGAACTTGGGGGCCGGGGGGGCGCTCCTCAGTCTGCCCTCTGGGCAATGTCTGTGTTCCTTCACCAGCACCTTCTGTGCCCTAAGCAGAGCTGTTCTCAGTGCTTGCAAGCCCCGCGGCCTTCGCGGGGGCGTGCAGCCTTCATCAGCAAGTGAGGTGTGCGAGGCCACACGGAGGGGCTGCTTGGACTGAAATTTCAAGCTGCTCTGCCCTGCCTAGGAGTCGGGGCTCTTCGCTGCTGGACCAAGGCTGTCCTGTGTCTCAGGAAAGGCACACTGGCTGAACACCACGGCCACCTGTGAGGGGGGAGCTTCTGAGTTCTTTCAGGAAGACACAGCTCTTCCTGACACATAGTTTAGGGACTTGAAATTTACATTTTGGCTTTGATTGTAGATGCAGGCTTGGTTGACCATATAAGAAAGAACTTTTTAAGGGAGAATTAACGAGTATTAGTTAGCTACCAGATACTTTTGGGATCAGTGTGCTCATTTTCCATTTCCCACGGTAAGGTCATGCCTGTGGCCCCCCCTTTCTGTGGGACACTTACTGACAGCTCATTGTGGTGGTCACTGCCAGGTTAGGGTGGGAAGAGTCCAGAGGAATCCGGCATTCTGTGTATTTTATGTTCAGCCTTAAACTATCTGCGTCGGTGGTGGGCACCACTAGGACAGTCTGGGGTCAGACTGCCTGCACTTACCGGGCCCAAAGCTGCACTCCGGCAGCGAGCTTTTGAGCTGGTGTCTGAGAAGTGGACTCCCTGGAGAGTTCCTTGAGAACTCTGACGTCACACAACTATGGCTCTTAGACGCTGAAAGTCTCATGTGGAAAATAAACATTTAAGTATTGTTACATTTGCTTTACAAAAGTGGTCAAGATTTTCTTGTTATAGACTTAAAGATCTCCACTTTAATCTTACACAGGCACCTAACGTACAAGCATTGTGACGTATTGTTGTTTGTAGTTTTAAAAGTTTTTGACATTCTTGAACACCCTACAGTCTTGAAAGCACTACTGTTGCACAGGTCAGAAGATGGAATGTTAGCATGTGAACGCATCTTTTAATCCTCGCCTTTTATTTTGTTGTAGGAGGAGAGACTTCAGCATGCAAACCTTCATCTGTTCGGCTTGCACCGTCATTTTCATTCCATGCTGCTGGCCTTCAGATGGCTGGACAGATGCCCCATTCACATCAGTACAGTGACCGTCGCCAGCCAAACATAAGTGACCAACAGGTCTCTGCCTTATCTTATTCTGACCAGATTCAGCAACCTCTAACTAACCAGGTAAGTTCACGATGATTTGGGATGATGCTTCATTCTCTAAAGTGGTGGGATGATGAACAGGCGAAATGTTTCCCTGGTTCTCAGTTTATAGGTCATGGGGGGATCTGGATTCCCAGTGTGACACTAAGAAGTTTACATTACAAAGTTTATTAGTTTTTCTACTCTCTGTATACTTCATTTAATTAAAAATAGTGTCATAATCAAAACCATACTCAATCATTCTGTAGTAAGGAGGGGAAAAGTTACTTGTAAAGAGCATAGTTAAATAAAAAAAAGCTTATCTTTATGGGTAGATAGTTACATAGAAAAAGCAAGTAAGATTCCATTATATAGCAAATTTGGAGAGCTGATTTGATGCTGTCGCAGACTGCTTGCACACATATTTATGAAAATAAATATGAAACTCCTGAAAATTAAAAAGAAAAATGTATTCTGTGAATTAGCCATCCTGTTCACTCTGCTATTCAGACCAGTGACTTGGCAAATGTGTATCCATGGGATACGCATGTATCCCGTGTAGAGAGTCACGCCAGGTCTCGGGGGGGTGTGCCAGGGCCGGGTATCTCACATGGAATGTGCGTGCACTTCACTAGCTTCCTAACTAGCTGTGTTCACTGTGTTGATTTTGGATAGGGAGAGCATCTTACTAGTCGTGTTTTTAAAAGTCTTCTCCTGTGGCATTGAGGGTGTGCTGAGCACTCTAGCGGCTGCTTTTCCACGTACTCAGGAATTTGGGTCGGCACTGCTTATTTAGGTCACGAGTGATCATCAAAAATGAAGAAACACTAAGAGCATTTCTTGCGCTGGATTGTTTGGAGGCGCAATAATCCAGTAACGTAGTTTCTCTGAGCAGGTGACAGCATGAAGGGGCAGGGCACCCTCGTGCGCTGCCAGAGCGGTCAGTCACTACGCTGGCATGGCATCCCGAGGTGTATGTCGCCTGTGACTGGCATTCCCAGTCAGACTGCTACCAAGGTAAATGAGGGAAGACTTAAGAACTTGTTTAATGGAGTAAATCGAGAAGTTCTCTGTGTGACAGTTGGAACAGTTGGTCAGAGCACTGAAGTTTGGAAAGTGATTAATTTTGTGCTAGGAGAAAATTGTGTGCGTGCCCCAAAGTAATACTAGCACAGTGACCTGTTGCCATGGTGCCGTTGACAAGGAGAGTGGGTGTGGCTTCATCCGGCTGCTCCAAGCAGCCCATCATGCAGGTGCCTGTTTTTAATCAGGTCTGCTGCTGAAAGACCTGGGCCCCGTTTGGATTTCTCTAGCGTGTGAGCAGCCTCCTTCCTCCCCCTGCATCACCCTTTCAGCTCCAGCACCTGGCATCTGTGGCGGCTCGAAAGTGTTCTAGTCTTTCAAAGTTATTTTTATGGCTATAGTATTGTAAAAGATAATTTAGTTAGCAAATTACCTATTTTTAGACACAACTAATATCTTATTTGTCTGTGGATTATTTTAAAGTAAGAGATGATTCATTTAGTATTTCCATTTCACGATGTAAAATATTTCTAAAGATTCATATGTTATAAAAGACTGTCTTGTAAGTAACAGTGTTCTGCCAGACCTCAGAAATCTCTGGGTCTGATTGGGTGCTCACGGGTGGAGACTTCCTCAGCGTGCTGGTGGGCTGCACCGGCGCTGTGCTGAGGGGGAAGGCGGTGCGTGTGGCGGCTTCGGCTGGTCGTGTGACGTGCACCTCGAGTCCAGTCACGTGAGCCCACTGTGGGTTCCCCGGATGTAAGATGGGGACCTGAGACAGGACCCCGCACCCCACGTGCCTTCTAGTTTTCATTATTGGTTTGCAGTTTGCCCTGGTTGATCATATCCCATCAGTGTCTTCTGAATCAGGTTTGTTGTGCAAGTAAGTTGAGACAAACTGCCTTTAACGTTTTATTTCTGCTAGTTAGTTGGTCTTACGTGAATGCATTTGGTACAAGTTTAAATGTGGTTTTGTTCAAAAGATAAATTTAGGCCACAGGAAGTGCAGTAGTGTGGACGCAGAGAAGCGCGGTTGGACTGGGCCTGCCGGTCTCTGGGCCGCGCGTCCACACCCCTCGGGCCCTGACTGGCGCTTGACCGGCTGCCAGCTTTCTTGGTGGCGCAGAACAGCCGGCAAGCAGAGCAGAGTTGTGGCCCTCCGTTACTTAATTTTTCCTACAGAAGGAAAAATTAAGTAAAATACATTTTTGAGTACATTCTGGAGTTCACACCATGGAATCCTTTCAGGAAAAAGGCCTTCACTCTCCACTCCACGTGGGAGTTGTGAGCCGCGAGGTGTGAAGGGCGGGGTGTGGCCTTTTCTCCCTCTGAGCGCCTCAGGAGGCACAAGGGGTGGCACGTCCACTTTCCTTTTGGCAGGGAGGATACCCTGCGGGGGGCGCACTGAGAGGGGCTCCCCATCTGCGGCTTGGCGAGCAGCGTGGCCCTCTGAACACCTTGGGCTTTTGGGCTTTTCGCCCGCTGGGGAAGCAGGGAGGGGGCTGGTGGCCTCACGCTGCCTTCTGACTGCAAGAAGCAGGGAGTGGAGAAAGCACCGGGTGGTGCGTAGGGCCGGCCTGGGCCTTCGTGTGGCTGTGACCCGGGAGTTGGAAACGTGTCCTCATCTGGAGCTGTGCTTATGGCAGCACACAAAGTTTGATTACCTAACGTGAAATCGCAAAGAAACCTAGTGAAGGGTGTGTTACTTATTTTGTCGGCGTGAATTTGTTCGTTTCACATATTTTGATCCCTTTCTGTGTACAAGGCACCATTTGAAGCTCTGAAATAACAGTCTGGTCTGAAGTCCAGTTTCTGTAGACGGACAGTATCTGTTTTAATTTGTGTTGCCAAAAGTAGATAAGAAAAATAATGTATTTAGAATTAGCTATTGATCTGGCCTTGTGAGCAAGTCTGGTCTGTCGTGGAGGGAGTCAGCGACATTTTGCCATGCCAAGCACATGGGCATGCTTCGACACGGAGTTCTGTGTATATCCAATTTCATGTATGTACCAGACAGTTAAAATGGTTTCCCTGATTGTATGGTTTTGGTATTTTGAGTGAATATAGTGACTCCTGTAAAGCTACTTCCGCCTGTTTCCATTTCAGGTGTCTGAAATAGCAGTGGAATTGCAGATGACTGAATTAAAAGAGCAAATACGGAGTTTTATACTTAACGAATTCCAATAAGTACATATGCTTATTTTATTGGTACTCACTGTGCACGACTCAGCTATTTTGCCCAACAAATAGCCAAAAGAAGGTAGAGTGGGCTTAAGCGTGGACAGGGAGGGCCCGGAGTCCCGACGAGCGGAGACAGCCCGCCCTCTCGCGCCTGCCCTCTGCCTGGCTCTGGGGCCGTGGCCAGGTAATTTGGCACCAGAGACTCCACTCTTATGTTTGTAAAGTGCTGGAAGAGTGTGACCTGTTGTCTCGGCCGGCGGCAGACCCACACACGCGCCCGTGAGGCGCAGGCCCACACTGGGGCGGCGCCGCCCCCTACGCCGCGGCCTGGCCTTCACTGAGCTCTTCAGTGTTGCTCTTGCTCCTAACCACAGTCAGCTTCCCGCCACCTGCTCACCGTGGCAGTGAACTCCTGTGTAGCTCTGGTTTTGTGGAACCCGCCAGGGAGCTGCACATCATCATCCCAGATGGGCTTGCGGAGTAGATGCCTCGCAGAGGGACAGTGCCGGCGCCCAGGCCGGCAGGGTGAAACAGGAAGCCTGAGGGGGCTGCACCCCTGCGCCCAGTGCACGGGCTTCAGGCCACATGCTGTCCCCAACGTCTGTTCGTTACTTAGGTATCTGGGCACCGGACAGCAGGTCAGGGTAAGTGCGAGGAGCCTGTGGCGTACTTCACTGTCCCTCTGTTTATTTTTAGAAAAATAGAACTGTTTGAGTGATTGATCCGAATTTTCTTACTAATGTCATCTATTCAAATGGCCTAAAATTATGGAGAGTCTTCCCCTTTAGTCCTCCTTAACAAGGGAGAGGATCGAGACAAGAGACATGTGAACCTAGCCCAGAACTCGCGGCTGAGTCTCCGGTGGGGCACGTTGGCACCTAAGGGCGGTGGGGGAGACCAGTGCTGACCCGTGTGAGGAGACGCGCCCAGGACACCGCCTGGCTCCCCCTTCCGCCTCCACCTGGGCGAGCCTGCATGTTCTGGCCAACGTCCCTGTCCAGCCGTTGAGCTGCTGCTTTGCTCATGTGGGTTAGTTTGAGCTGCGTCCACTACCCCAGCACTGCACGCTTCTCTGGGCCCATGGCGGGGTGTGTTTGCTGTCGCTGTGCCCCGCACACTAACCCAAGTGCCCTTTGAGGGGGCTGCCTGTTTCCCAGCAGGCTTTCTGGTGACATGTCTGTGGGCATGGCGGTAACCCAGGGGTGGGCAGTGGTCATGACTTGGGCACCTTGATGCAGGTTTGGCTCCCTTGGGACCCCCTCCCCACCCTTGCTGAAGCATGACAAGCGCAGTCATGTGTCAGATTGGCACAGAGTGGGAACCCACTACTCGGCCTTCTGGGTAGTGGGGGTGGTGCTTCAAGGCTGTCCCCACCAAAATCCCTTAGCTAGAAATGTCTAGTGGGGAGCTCGGAGTTGAACAACCTAGCGGATGGGAAGAGCCTGGTTTAGGATTGAGGAGCTTGTGAAGTATAGTGAAATGAGTTTCTAAAAGAAATTCATTAGCCATAGCTCATGGTGGTCATCTCCATCATTGGTGTGATGGATTCATTGGTGATTCAACAAGTAAAAGCCATGTCCCTGGTGCGACTTCAGGCGAGGGCAGTGTGACTGAGCAAACGCCTGGCCTTGGGGGATTTCCTTGTAGTGAAAGATGAAAGATGGCAGAAGGCAGTGAGTGAGTAAATGTATGTAGGGGGCTGGGAGTGTGTGCACGGCGTGATAGTCACTGTGGACAGACAAAGCAGGGCTGGGGAGGGCTCGTGGAGGGCAGTGTCCGGCACAGGAGGACCACTTTACTGGGTCAGAGACATGAGTCAGGTCTCTGGCCCTGGGGCACATGCCAGTTAGCGAGCAGCACCCCACAGTGTTTGGAGCTGTCCTGCTGCAGCACCTGGAGGGACACAGCTCCCCCACGGCCAGCCAGCTCTGTCCTGCCAGCTAGACCCAGGTCTTTGGACTCTGGAAGTCACCTGTGAGTGCTGGGTTTGTCTTCGCCTGCCAGGTCAGGCTTTGGGAAGAAATCTTTGCTTGCGTGAATTGTGCCATGAAAGGCGGCTTTTTGGGCTGCAGTATGTGTCTTGAACCAGAGATGCAGCCCAGGCAGCTGGGCGTGGTCTCGTGCTTATTGATTGCTCCAGTGATTGTCTTCGTTGGAATCCGGCGAGAGAGACAATGTGTGATCTTCTAGCATAGTTGCCTTTTTTTTTTAAAAAAAAAAAGATGTATTTATTTATGCACACAGAACTAGGGTACAGGCCAGAGGTGTGAGAGTTGTGAGAGGATTCACCAGAGACAGAGTGGGGAGCAGAACAGGCAGATTGACAGAAACGCACTGCTGAGAGGAGCAGCGGGCGGTCAGGAGAGGTCTGCGGCGCAGTGTGGGTCACCCCCGGGGCGGGGATAGAACTCATGCTGAAGTAGCTTTAGCTTAGTGCTCTGCTTTAACCTGCTGCGCCACCAGGGAGGGCCACATAATTATCATTTTTTAAAAAGATTTATATATTTATGCATACAAGAGCTGGGGTGTAGGCCAGAGGTGAGAGGACTCCCCAGGCAGTGTGGGGAGCAGAAAAGGTAGATCCACTGAAAACACTGCTGAGGGAAGTAGCGGAGGAGACAGGAGAGGATCTGTGGGTCACTCCCTGACTGAGGATCACACTTGTGCTGCAGTGGCTACAGGTAGCTTCCCAGTGCTGTGGCTTAGCCCATTGCGCCACCAGGGAGGGCCAGTTGTCATTTTTAAAATGGCTGCAGAAGAGGGGGAATTTATACCAGTGCGGTATGTAGTTAAAGTGCTAGTCTTTTCTGTCTATTTAAGGTGATGCCTGATATTGTCATGTTACAGAGGCGGATGCCCCAAACCTTCCGTGACCCCGCAACTGCTCCTCTGAGAAAACTTTCTGTTGACTTGATCAAAACATACAAGCATATTAATGAGGTAAGACTACTGATATGTTACAATGGAATCTATCTTGCAGTCGCATATAGGGGAGAAGCAGTCAGCAGCGGCCATCGACCTCTTTAGACATATTGAAGTTTTCTCCTCAGTGTCATTACGCTGATGGTTATTATAAAGACTGGTAAGTTAGCCATGCAAAGAGAACAGGACAAGAATTAGGTGGGAGAAAGAAGATGCATCATCAAGGACTGCAGAAAATGAATTGTGGGTGACTTCTCCTTTTCCCCAAAGTCGTAAAAATAAGTGCTCAGTCACCATTTTACAGTAATTTTTCTCTAAAGAAAAGGTAAAGGGGAGGGACCGATGATGCGGTGAAAGTGTGTGTGCTTTAGCACTTCGCTCAGATTTATCAGTTTCTACTCTGCTATGGATGTCAGTGGCCCTGCGATACAGTTAATACCCAGTTACCAGGCACTTGGCCTAGTTTATTTGATCTCTGTATTTCTTTGGTTTTAAGTTCTTTTAAAATTTCATGTGTGTTCATTTATCTCTATCCATTTGTAAGATATCTGAAAGCCTTTTAAGTGGAATAAGCAGGATAAAAGATAGCACTTTGAATTACTTACAACTTGGTGCTTTGCCACTAAAAATTATTTTTCTGGTCTCTTAGAACTTGATTGCCACTTCCAGCCTAAACTCTAGCCCCATCATTAATTTTTAAATGAATCACTACTATTAATAACTTTTCATTATAAAGTGAACTCTTCAGTGGACCTCCTTTTGCTTCCTTTACTCTCCTAGTGAGAACCCCGCATTCCCCCACAAGCTTATCCCCGACCAGCTGTCGAGCGTTTAGCTAGAGAGGCACTCTTACACATGTAGACGTTTCATCACTCCTTGGTGCTGTTTAATGCCAGTGTTAGATTGCTGTACAGTGTGGTAAGAAAAAGTAAGCTGAACTCAGTGGAAGGGACATTTCTATGGATTTTGTACACAGTGAATGTGTTCTAAAAGATGCATCGAGTCATTTGGGGTGTCTAAAAATAGAATCTAATAAATGGATAACAACTTGTGTTAATTTAACATCTCATAAGTTGTTGACAAAGCTACTGTTAATACTATCGTTAGTAGTAGTTTTGTTGAAGCGAAAGTTTTTCTATGTAAATTCTAAAGTGACTTATAATTACCTCTAAATTCATTAGCAGTTACTTGGAATACTGCTTATTTTTACCTTTACTAGTCTTAGAAGCTCATAAGAAAACCAGTATGGCAGATCAGCCATGAGGGTCGATGGCCTTTATGGAGTGTCTTGTGGTTGGGGGTGTGCCTTTTCCACGTAACAGTTGGTTGTATTGACTTAAAAACTGGGCATCTCGCAGAGGAACTTTGTACTTTGAGTTCCTCCACACTTACACTTCAACCTAAAAAAAAAAAAAAATTTATTTATTTTTGCTATAAGATCAAATACAAAGTTTGAATTGACTAGAAGGGCCCAGGAGGGAATGTGATCATGAGGCAGATGAAAGTGTTTGGCATTTGCTGATTTAGATCAGCGTTTATATTTTACAAAGTTTCATGTTAGGCCCTTAAGATCAGTGCCAACTGGGCTGTATACATTGTAGCTTACTAGTTGAGTAGGAAACTGGTCCAGTCCCGCTCCCCTTCTTAAATCGGGGCGCTTGAACCGGTCAGAGGACATCTGTGTATAACACACATCAACAGTGTCAAAGTGAAGCTTGCTCAGGCCCTGCCCCTGTACCTGCGTTGGTGGGAGGCTCACCCCACACCTCAGAGATGAGCTGGTTTTCTGCATGTCCCAAATGGCACCGCCGCCCGCAGAGGGCAGGGCGTCTCTCCGCACTGGGCCGCGAGCGCCGCCCACCCGCGAGGCCCTGCCCGCGCGGTCACGCAGCCGCCCCTGCCCCTTTCAGGTCTACTATGCAAAGAAGAAGCGGCGGCACCAGCAGGGCCAGGGAGACGACTCCAGCCACAAGAAGGAGCGGAAGGTCTACAACGACGGCTACGACGACGACAACTACGACTACATCGTGAAGAACGGCGAGAAGTGGATGGACCGCTACGAGATCGACTCCCTCATTGGCAAAGGCTCCTTCGGACAGGTGAGGGCGCGGTCTGGCCGGGGGAGCCGCTCCCGCTGCTGGCGGCTGAGCCGTGGGGTGACGCCGCCTCCCCGGCCAGGGCAGCCGGCCGCTGGGAGCCGACTCTGCGCCGCGAGCGGCTGAGGTTGAGCCGTAAGGGTCGGTGTTGCCGCTTTCCTGTGGGCTCTGCGTCGTCTGTGGATGACTCTTCTTTGCGTGTGCTAGAGATAACTACCTTCTGCCTGAGCCAATGAAGAGAAAAGCTACGTTCTCAGCTGGCACAGCCGGGGCCCTCTCACTTTCTGGGGAGCTTGAAAATCCTGGGCTGTGCCCTGGACCTTCTCCCAACTCACCCTCCAGCTATGTGAAGCCTCAGTGTGGGCAGCGGTCTCCCGAGTCTTCTCTCCCAGCCCTCACAGTGCCAGCATTGCCAGTTGCTTGATGGGTGATTCTGGTGGGCAGGAGCACTCAGGCAGCTTCCACCAGGAAGGACCTGGGGAGCCCAGGTGGGCTTCCCTTCCCTTTTTCATGCTTGCCGCTTCTCCACCCACGCCCCTCCCCGCCTGCACAAGGCCACTGACCCTAAATTCATGGCCAGACCCAGAGCTTAAGCACTTGTGAGAGCCCTTTTCTCTCATGGAGGGACCCCCCCCCCAGCTGTTCCCACTTATAAATCGTCCTCTCTTATCACATCTTAGCTGCTTTGTTTGTGGTCTGATTTTCTGGTTTTTTTTCCAAACAATGTATGCATTTGTGCATACAGAACTGGGGCACAGGCCGGAGGTGCAGGGATGGTGAGAGGCTTCACCAGAGGCAGAGTGGGGAGCAGAACAGGCCGGCTGACGAAATACACTGCTGAGGGGAGCAACTGGCGGGTCAGGAGAGGTCTCCCGCACCCTGTGGGTAACCTCCGGGACGGGGATCGAACTCATGCAGAAGTGGCTTTAGCTTCTCAGTGCCGTGCTTTAACCCGCTGCGCCACCAGGGAGGGCCCTGATTTACTATTAATCCCAGTTTCCTTTGCCTTTTAACCTTTGTTCAGTGAGAGGGTTATTAACCGGTGATCTAAATATTTCTTGTTACTTTTCAGGGATGAGGATAGAGTGAGGTTCAAAAATGAATTTTCTCAAAGTGCCTTTTCCCATTTTTCTCCCTTTTTAAAAAATTGTGGGACCTGTACGCTCTTTGTGTTGAGAGAAAGCAAAATACGCCTCTTTTCGACCTGGAGGAGGAGCTCATCGTGTGTCAGTCTAATTATGCTTTGGGCAGAAAGTGTATTGCGAGCCAATAGCAGCCACAGGCAGAGGAATCAAAGCTATGACATGCATAGAAATGTGAACAGGGGTGTGGGAAGAGCCCCATAATGCCAGCGTGGCTTTTACATATGGCTGTCTTCATTTTTTTCACCCCCTTTTCGTCTAAGTTCGGGGATTTTCAGAGTTTGGGAGTCGCTCCATGGAAGTCTTTTGTTAGAAGCAGCTTCTGCTTCTCTATCAAAGCCTCTTAAGGATAGTTCTGAGGCCCAGCTCTAAATAAGCCTGTGGTCGCCCTTGATATAGGGACTGCTGTCTGCCTCTGGAAACTCTCTGACTTCTAGGCCTTTATCTCAGCCAGACCATGTTTCTCACTTCTGCAATACCCACCGTGAACACTGGCCATGCAGCATGTTCTCTAAGCTTCCTTTTTTGAAATACTCGGTCTTAGGCTCAAAGGGATTTGTTATCCTGCCCTTTGCCTTAACTTTCTTGTACTCGACTTCCTAAGAGCAACTGAGCATACTTAACCTCTTCAGGCACATCACACGCCACCTCACTCCGTCAGTGATGCCTCTGCCTGGTGTGTCCAGGTCAGCACTGTCCATGTCGACACGGTCGTGTTCTCTCTGTGCTGTGTGCCAGATCCTGCCTGGCAGTGGTTGTCTGTCCTGATGGCACTTTTGATACTTCCTAGGGAGCTTTGAGAAATAAGAAAGGATTATTGCTTAGACTCCAAACCAGTGAAGGCAGACTGTGACTGGAGCCTGGGCACTGTGGTGTGCTAGGGCCCCCCCTCGAACTTGTCAGTAGAGGTGAAAACTGCTGCGTCAACATTCTGCCAGTTAACTATTTGCTAAGCCTGTAAATAGTCAGGTCCCCACGTGTGTCCTTTGTCCAGTGGATCTGGGCACTGAGCTGTGACTTTCAGGCCATCGGGAGAGCCAGTGAAGTCAAAGAATATTAAAACCACTTGGTGGCTGTATATATATGGGCAGCTTCAGATTTGAAGGACGATGGGTTATAATAGCTTTAGAACTGAGCAGAAACCAGAAAACACCACACTTTACTTTAGAAGTTTTCTTTCAGTCGTACTGTTTGTCTTTGACAGTGGATTTCTCCTTGGCTGGTGAGGATCTTGGGCTCCGACTCCATTCTCTTCCTCTTCCTCTCCCTCAGCGCTTCTCAGCCTACACGCTCACGCTTCATTCAGACTGTGCAGCATTATACACGTGCCTCACACCTCACCGGGTGGTTGTTTCTGGCTGTTAGAGATAAAAGGGTGTTTGTTTGTTTCTAAATCTGTGTACTGATTCTCCAACTTTTATGGAAATGTTTTTGTTAATGGTGGCATGGAAATCATTTTAAATGAATAAAATTTAAAATAAAGAGATGCGTGCTGATATTGCTTGTGAGCACTCTGCTTAGCATTCGCTCTAATTTAAAGGCTACCAGACCCTCCACTTCCAGCATTTTGTTTATGCTATGGAACTTTATTTGTACTTGATTTTTTTTTTAATTTTAGTTTAGACTAATTCGTCTGTTACATATATATATTTCTGTTGATGAAAAATCTAGTTAGGAAGCTAACACATTCTTTCAGATCACTTAGAACTTTTTAAATGTTTCACAGTCTTAGTAAGAAAGCTGGAAAATCAAGACACTTGTTAAAATTCACAATTTATTTCAGCAAGAAGAAAATAGTTAATCAAATTAGCTAACTGTTTTGTGGAATTAAGTATGCAAAAGTAACTCAATTTGAAAAGATTGACTTAAAGTGATGACTAGTAAAAGGTTGTTGAATGGGAATGGATAGGGACTCTGAATTTAAAGCGAGAATGAGGTCAATGTGCCATTAAGGGGAATTGTAAACTATTGTGAAATGGTTACCATGAAACAGAGAATTACTCCTCTTTTCTCCCTCAGGTTGTGAAGGCATATGATCGTGTGGAGCAAGAATGGGTTGCCATTAAAATAATAAAGAACAAGAAAGCTTTCCTGAATCAGGCCCAGATAGAAGTTCGACTTCTTGAGCTCATGAACAAACACGATACTGAAATGAAATACTACATAGGTAAGCAGAGCTCATGCCCTGCCCTGAGCTCAGATTGAGCAAGTGGTGTTTGTTTTTTCTAAATGAAAATATGTTGATTTTATCTTAAAGACACTCTTTAAAAATTCAGCTGTTTAGTTCTACTGGGCGTGGAAGTGTTAGGGGGGAAGGATGTCCCGAAGGACCTCTACAGATACAGGTTTTGTGGACTCCACTCCCTACTCCAGTCACTGAAACCAACTCCCATCATCACCAAAGGGAGGACTGTGTGCAAGGACCCAAGGGCTGAGCTAAGCAGCCATTTTGAGACTTTGGGGATATAAACAAAGGAGACCTGTTGAGCTGAGTCTCTCTCCCCCTTGGCCTCATGGCAGGCGGCTGGTCGCTTGGCTCTTGGTCAGCTTTCAATGTGCTATTGGGGTTCCAAGTCAGCGGAACTGGTAGGATGCCCTAGTTAACTTGTGTCTCTCTCTCTTTCTTTCCCTGGGTTGTTCCTTTTCCTTTCCCCTTGTAAATGAGCCCATTACTTAGCTTTTTGTGTATGTCTGCAGTAGAGTTGGATCATAAGCACGTGGGTGAGGACCCACAGACAGGCACCCCAGGTCACATTGGGCCTGGCACTTGTACTCACAATCTTGGGGAACGTGCATCCTGCATGATGCACAGTTTAGAAACAAATGAAGAAGAGCATGTTTGCACCCCCAACTTGTAAGCACCATTTGCTTGCTTAAAATGATGCATTTTGTTTAGAAAGTCTCCTTTAAGGCGGCATTAAGCCTTTCTAAGACAGCTGAGGAGTCAGAGTAAGCTAGCATGTTGTTAGTGGCTGGAGAGCCATGTTTGGAGTGTCCGAGCTTCCTCTCAGGCGGTTTGTGAGTAGGACAGCATTAGAAATTGGCAAGTACACTACATTGGAAAGGTGGGCACAGCCAGCACCTGTTGGACTCTGCCACATTCCTGTGCACTTCTGCCACCACCTGTAATAAGCATAACCGTCCTGAAGGAGCCACGCGCCCGGTGCCAGGACTCTGGAGTGCAGCGCTGAACCTCTCTGCCTGACTGTGTGTTTCCTTGTCATCTGGGTCTTTCTGAAAACGAAGTGGAGAGAGAACTGTGAAAACGGTGACTCGAAGGTCAATTGACCTAAACATCTTCTAATTATATTCCCTTCAATCCTATTTTAGTATTATTTTTAATGAAATCCAAGACTTCGGTGATGGTAAGACTCCATTATTCTGTATATCACCAGGAACCAAATTGTTGCTGAGTCTGAATGTCAGATGTCATCAGTTGAGGTAGAGAGCTTGTGGCTAGTTCACTACAGAAGCTCCCGGAGGCATGGGCACCACCCAGAAATGCGCCCTCAGGGGTGCCAGCTGTCTCTGACAATGGAAAGTGAGACTTCCCTGTTTCAGAAACCAGGTGGATGTTTAGGTCCTTCAGTCTCCTCCAGCCCATCCCTGTGACACAAGCAAAAGTTGGAGATTTTGAGGTGTAAGATTTAGGTACTCAGATTTCATTATGAGACATCTCTCTCTTCCATCGTTAGCAAAAAATGGAGCTTATACTATTCATTTCCCTCATTCTTGGGCCCAACAGAGGCAGTGAGCAGCTCTCCAGATAGTCTGCAGAGAAACCTTTTATGATACTGACTTTGAGACATGGTGGTTTTGCCATCCCGGTGAGTTCCAGGTGCTATCAAGTTTAGTGAACGTGAGACTTGTCCCCAGGGAGGACGCCCGTGGGGGGGCCTCGTTTGGTTTATTGAGTGCTCATCTGATGCGAGGTCCCTGTTGGTACTTGGGGTTCAATCTTACAGCAGCTCAGCAAGTACTAAGCTTTGTTAGGAGGTCCACAGTGACTGTCTCCCCACACAGTTTCTTCTTGTGGTCAACTTTCTTTAAAGTTTTCACAAATCTCCATTCTTGGTGAGATGTCTCAGTAGGTGCCTAGGTTATGAACTGCTAGCACCTCACAAAGCGTGGTTTCTGGACACCTGCTTTGCCCGAGAGACAGTCAGCCTAGGGCTTCCGTGGTAATGAGCACAAACGGCTGCTCGCGCTGCCACCCAAGGCCCCGCACAGGAGACAGCGTGTCTCGGCCCCCCGACGGCTGCCCCGCGCCGTGGCCGCAGACCGGGCCCCACCAGCCTCATGGCGAGTGGGCTTCGGTAAGCCAGGCGCTTGCCTGTCACAGCCCGGGAGGGGATCACCCACACATCCTCAGTATCGTGTCTTACTCTGCTGCTTGTGCCTTCAGACCTGGCTTAATTTTTTCCTAAGAGAGATTTTGGAGGCATGGCTTGTGTGTTAATACTGCTTATTGCAGATACTACGCTGGTTTCCTTTCTCAGACAGGCAGTTCAGATATTCTTACATGATTACAGAATATGCTGCTACTGCAGAATGCTGATTCCTACTCTTAACTTGCTTTCCACTGTACAGACACCAGGGTGATTGTCTGATTGAACATTTGAATGTTTGAGGGTACATGCATTTTTATTGGTTATGTAATTTAAAATGAAACTTTTTTTTCTTTCAGTGCATTTGAAACGCCACTTTATGTTTCGAAACCATCTCTGTTTAGTTTTTGAAATGCTGTCCTACAACCTCTATGATTTGTTGAGGAACACCAATTTCCGAGGTGTCTCTTTGAACCTCACACGGAAATTTGCACAGCAGATGTGCACTGCCCTGCTTTTCCTCGCGACTCCAGAGCTTAGTATCATTCACTGTGACCTAAAACCTGAGAATATCCTTCTTTGCAACCCCAAACGCAGTGCAATCAAGATTGTTGATTTTGGCAGTTCTTGTCAACTGGGGCAGAGGGTGAGTATGTTTCTGGGCATGGGAATCAAAGTCAGGTGGGCGGGACAGCCGGGGCGGGCACTTGAGCTGCTCCAGCTGCTTCTCCTGTGCGTCAGCGACCATCTTGCTGTACTGTGCATTTCGGAGGAAGCCTCAGTGGTCACCTTTAGAATGCAGCGCGTGAGTCACCTTGTATTGATAAATTGGGGAAAGTACCTTTTAAAATGCAAATAGAGGTAAGGCTTGATATTAGAAGATACTGGTTTTTCAAAGTGGATTTTAACGAAAAGGAAATGGATAAATATTGGAGGATTTCCCAGTTGAGGGTGTAGTGTAAATTTGGGGAAATTGGAGTGCTGAAACATTTAACCCGTGCTGCCCAGTATTTCTCTGCGGTTGATCGGGTGAGGTATTCTTCCTCAAAAAGTGATTGCTGGGTTAAAAAATGCAGATAATTTTGCATTACATATGGTAATTGTAAAGAAATTACATAGTGCTAGACATCCTGTTTTAATAAATAAGTAAAAAAATTTTTTTCTTTAATGTATAAAGCCTGGCACATGTCCAAGCTGGCTTTCTGAAAGCAGTGTGACCATAGCAACTGGCACGTTTAACTCTAATTCGGAAAAGCAAATTTTTCTTGCTTTGGCATTTTGAAAACTACTCTAGCAGCATGTTTAAGCATGTAAATCAGGAGTTACAGGTTGTTCCCTTCTTGAAAGGAACTAAGGTTGCCATTTGATTGCATTTCACTCATTGAAGTGCTGTGACTATTTACTGGGCAGTATTAAAACTTCATTTATAAAGGACAGAAGCACTACTGACATTCAGATCGTTCTCTTTCATTTTCTTCTTGTTCTAAATTAGTGAGATTTCCTGTTCTGCCCCTGATCATGAAGCTTTAGAGCTAAGTAACAGGGTTATCTGTGTTTTGCTACTTTCTGCAAATTATCATATGTTGTAGATTATGGAATTTTACAATGTTGTAGATGACGGAATTTTTTAAAAATCAAAAGAAATAGGAAGCAAAACTTGCAGTTTCAGATGCCTCTGGAAATCAAGGCACGGTCACCATTTTTAAGGTGTGATAAAGTATGGACAGTGGAAAATGCATGCCCCCTTGAGAGAGGTTTATTTCCGACTTGGAGAAACTTTGCCCTGTTCAAACCAAGCGTGTGTTCTGCCCCGACAGTACCGCTGCTCTTTCTCTGCTGCAGACAGAGACCTGCCTGCCGCGCAGCGAGCTGTGACTGGCTGCCGCAGAGAGCTGCACGGAGTCGTGGCCACAGCACATTAAGTAGTGCCTTAGCCCCAGCCGCTGTCAGGAGAGGAACAGCTCTGTTTGTTCTGGAGAGCAGCCTCGGTCACCGGACCAGCACTTGACCCTCCAGGCAGGGCGGAAGGCGCACTTCCTCAGCTGTGGGGGAAGAAGGCAGTCTCAGTGGCTGGGAAACTTTTGGTCTGAAGGGTCTTGTTGATGCTGTTGGCTTATTACATCTTGGAAGCGTGGCGCTTTTCCCTGGTGCCGTTGATTTAGACCTTATGTTGGAGGGACCGGACACTTGAGGTTACTGCTGAAGACGTGGCTGGACTTCTAGGTGGGAGCCACGGGCATTTTCTGTGAGAAGGCAGTGACGCACGACTGGCTGCCTGGTGTGAGGGCTAAGTTAAGAAGCTTAGTTTAGATGAGCTGGTTTCTTTCTCTTTTTAAATAAAACTTTCTTTGCTTTAACAATATTTCAAATTAAAATGACATTTGGAAATATAATGACCAGTATAGTACAGATGTGTTCATTTTCAATTAGTTGGTTATTTCAATTATTAAGGTTATTTGACCCTTCAGTTTGAAAATACATTTTGTTAGGCTAATTTAAATGCAGCTTAACAGTTAAATTAATGGTAAACCAGGTGCCATCCACCACAGGAAAAAATGATTAATAGAGAGGGTAATTATTCTCATTAATAATTTTTTCTAGTTGTACATAGTTGTTTGTGTTAAGATGTATCTCAGTTGCCAGTTAGAGTTGGACTAAATCAAAGGGGTTGACTTGTGCATATTTTGCATTTCACAACCAGATTGAGCACTTGATTGAAATGTTTAAACAATATTTATAGTTTACTTTAGAATTAATAAATGAAACCCGAATTTAGGAGTTAGCCTTTTCCCCTGTTAATAGATCAGTGTTCATAATCCAGTGTTGACCAGAATTTGCAACTAATACTACTTGGAAATCTCTTCCAGATATACCAGTATATTCAGAGTCGCTTTTATCGGTCCCCAGAGGTGCTACTGGGCATGCCTTATGACCTTGCTATCGACATGTGGTCCCTGGGCTGTATTCTGGTTGAGATGCACACTGGGGAGCCTCTGTTCAGCGGCGCCAATGAGGTATGTGGTAGGTCGCTGGAGTCGTTCTCCTTGTGGTTCGTGTCTTTTCCCGTCCAGGGCATTGCGTCCTGGAAGCTGTTCTTAGGAAAAGCTGCCCGTTCACCAACCCAGTCATTTTATCTTGCAAATGTTGTCGTTTTTTAACTGACATCCATTCTCAGAATGATACGTAAGTGAATTTAGAATCAAGATAGGAAGTGAGATCTTTAAAATCTGACAGAGAAGAACAAAAAACAAACAATACTAAGTTTTTGGGTAGATTTTAATAGACTTCAAGTACAACAACAAGAAAAGATAACTAATGCAAGTGGGGACCACCCTGGAACTAGTGTGAACATTGCAGTACATGCTAAAAGTATGATTTGGAATAAGGAAGCAGTGACAGTTGGGCTTGTAGATATCAGAGTGAATGATTTGGGTTAAGTTGGGTCACAGAGTCAGCTCTCTGGCTGCCTCGCTCCTGGATTTTCATTCTGTGGTTTAGACGTCTTTTTGACGGTCAGAGGTCGTACCTCAGGCAGCAAGGAAAAGGTCCCGATTCCTTACAGTTGGGAATTGGGCTTCCGTTTGTTCAAAAACTGGTCACTTGTGGGGTTCTGTGGCTTTTTAAAGAAAAGTTCATTGTGTGGCTTGACCAGTCCATTCTTTTATAAATGGGGAAAGAAAGACCAGAGGAATGTAATGCACTGTACTGGGTTATGGGTAATGTCAGAAACTTGTCTCTTCATTCTTTGGGATTCACTGTAACTAGTGAACCACTCCTTGGCAGTCACCACTGTATAAATAATGTTGCCTTGTAGATTAGTATCTTTTCCCTGGACTTGAATAATATTAGGCCAGCTGAACTGCCACTGGGTCCAAATCACTCACCGTGACAGCCAGAGCCCTGCACCGAGCGTGGCGGCCCCTTGGTCCCTCCGCCTCCCATTGCTTCCGCTCTCACCCCGGCCGTGGCACATCCCTCCCTGGGGTGGCGGAAGCTGCGGGCCCACGCCAAACCCTTGCGTTTGGTCCTTCCTGTTCCTTAGTGCTCTGTCTTCAGATGACACCGGTCTCCTTCCCTCACAGCCTCAGCTCTGCTCATGAGATCTCTCCAGACACCTGATTGGTGTCATGGTACCCCTCCTTAGCCCACTTTGGACTTTGCTCTTGAGTTCTTAGTTGTCATCTGACATACATTGAGCTCTGCATTTGTTTATTGATGATCCTTTCCCACTGCTAAAGCACTTTTTTTCTGACAGCGATTTTGGTCTGTTTTATATATGTCATATTTTACTGTTCGGTAAGTGAGTAGAGGAGCTGGTACTTACAAACCTATTAGGTCCACCCTTTATTAAGCTTCTGGGGTTTTATTGGTGACTACTACTTAACCACAGCAGCCCCCAAACTTAACATTTAAACCTCCTCCTCCTAACGACATACCCTAGACGTGTATTTGCTTAGCTTCCTGCCCCTCTGCAGCCCTGGGCTCCCAGCAGGAGAGCAGGAGCTCTCTCTCTCTCTCTCTCTCGTCGTCATTGTCTGCTCGGGGCCTGACACACAGGAGCTGCGCATCTTGCTTGTTGATGGGTGAAAGCATTATGAGCCGCAGTAGGTGTGCTACGGTAGAAATGACAGGGTTTTTATTTTTGCTTTTAACACAGGTAGATCAGATGAATAAAATAGTGGAAGTCCTGGGTATTCCACCTGCTCATATTCTTGACCAAGCACCAAAAGCAAGAAAGTTCTTTGAGAAGTTGCCAGATGGCACTTGGAACTTAAAGAAGACCAAAGATGGAAAACGGGTAAAATAAGGAAAACAACCATTTTTTTTGAGCCTTTGTGGTTTCTTTTACTGGAACTGTCTCTTTACAGCTCATTTTGCCTTTCCTTTAATTCAGTGTATCACCTCACAGTTCCTGACTTGGGTATGTATTCTCTTCACAAGCTGGATATTGTTTGACCTGAATTATCTTTCGAAGCAGTGTTCATTTAAAGGTTCTCTTTACGGCTGCATTTTGAAAACTCTGTGTTTGCCTTGAGACGGCTGATCAACCCACCATGCCTATGCCTTGTCTCCGCGGCGGGCTCCATGAGCTTTGACCTCTGTTTGTTGGCACTTAGGTTGGTAGGGCAGTCGCAGATCCGAGTGCCACAGCCGTGAAGGGTAGAAGTCCTAGTTGCAGTAAGTGGCTCTTTGTTGTTGAAGTTCCCATCGTTTTGATGGGAGAAAAGAATTTTTGACTTAAGCAGTTTTGACAAACATTTGAACTGTCTGAATGGTCCTTGGGTAGATTTCAGATTCCTAGTTCTTCAGTGACGTAGAACAGCCCGTGAACGGAAGGGGTTTTGTTTTCACTTTAGGTTTTAGTCATTTTTTCCTAAGAACATCTTTGAGATACTCCGTGAGGTCACTTCCGTAAGAGTACGTGATGGCAGTTGTTTTACATATCTGAAAACCTTGTGCTCTGGTTTGAGCTTCTAGTATAAAATGAGTGTATATAGAAAGTTTGATGTGTCTGGTCTGTGTGACTCCTCGTGATTGTGGCTTTTTCTTTTTAAATGCTTTTTGGGGGGCTCCGGTTTTCATTTTGCCCTTGCATCTTAGTGACACTACTGCCAGCTGTCATTTCCAGGGAACCGAAGGTGGCTGTGGCTTCCCTCAGTGCTTTTCCGCACAGCATCTTTAATCTCAAGGCTTCGGCAGTGTCTCTCCCAGCTGATCAGCACCTCCCTGCATTTTGCGTGTTCTGGGGAGTCCTGGCACTGCAGTACCCTGCAGCTGAGTGGCGCCTGCTCGCCACCTCGACGAGGCGGAAATACAGAGCCGATCCCGAGTCCTGTAGCCTGTGTCTGCGTAGCTTCACAGTCACGGCCCCTGTCCCACGGTCCTGTCAGGCCGCCCCGTCCCTTGCGGCCGCACGAGCATTCGCACCGCTCTGCACCACTCTGCCGGCTGACTTGAGCTGGCCGGGGGCTCCGGAGCCGCCGCACCCTTCCTTGCCCCTCGCTGCGGCACAGCGTCCTGCTACTTTCCCTGTTAAATTCTTCCCCCCTTCTAAATAAAAGGTTCATCCCACTCTATGTTTCAAGGCCCTGCTGTATTATTCCACAGTTTCGCCACTGCGAGCGGCATCATTTCTCCCAAGTGGCGCTATAATTATTGTTATTTTAGATTATTTATGTTGGGGTCACTGCAGAAAAGAAGATTATTTTCCCATCTTAAAATCAAAAGTGAACATCTTAACCTACGTTTAATACATATTAACTAACTAGATTTTATGGAACTTATCTTAGTCTAGCAACTTACATTTCCAAGTATAAAACAACACTTATGTTTAAGCAGAAGTAAAGGGCCAGGAGTAAGAATCAAACACCTGGCTAAGTGATCGCACTAGGAAGGGTGTTCCAGGGCTTTTAGCCAGAGGTACTGACGGGGGTGAGCCGGCGTTAGGTCCTTGGCGTTTTAGTTTCTTAGTTATTTTCATTTCTCCTCTAAAATGTTCAGGAACCCATTTTAGCTTCCTAATAGTGAAACACGCACCAACAGTATTTTTTTTTTTTCTTTTGCTGATTAAAGGGGATAAAGAACCAAGACTGTATAAGCAAGGTTGTTTTGGTGAAGTGCAATTAATATTCAGTAAAATGGACCCGTTTTAAATGTTTACTTGATTGAGTTTTAACCTTTTCACACTACAGTGTAGCCACAAGCTGTTTGGGCATCGAAGGGCGTTCATGTGGGCCTTTCCTGTCATCCCATCCATCTTCTGACTTTTGTCATCATAGGGTTAGTTTCGTCACCTCACAGGCAAAATTCATATAAACGGAATCCTGCAAATAACTGACAGTAACTGAAAAATAACCTTGTTTTATTTCGGACAACAAGAAAGTTGTTCTTGGAAATGGATCCACATTGTTGCGAGTGTCTGGACTTTGCTGGCTGACTGTGTCATAGGCTTCTGTTGACTGGAATGTGGTACTTTCTCTCTCCTACCTGTTTGAATGTTTGGATTCTCTTCATTTGGGGATGATTATAACTGAGATAACTGGGAATATTTTGTACACATTTTCATTTCTCTGGGGTCACTGTGGGAGACTTGGCAGGTCACCTGGTCTACTCATATCTCGCCTTCACAGGGGCGTACAGATGCGTCTCCAAAGTCCCATCTTCACAGCACAGGAGGTGCCAGTAGCGTCACATCCTCGCGTGCGACAGGGCTGCATTCAGATGTGCCCTCCTAGGGGATGGTGGCTCTGACCACCCTCTCTGTGCTTAGCCAGCTTTCCAGCCTTTCCAGCTAAACCACCTGGTGGTTTAGTTATCATGTCCCAGAACGGCTGTCTAGGACTTTGACTCACATGTTAGTGTTGTCCTCGGACGGGCATGCCTACTCTGAGGACCTTTCTTTTTTTTCTCACCAGAACATTTTCTGATTAAATTTCCAACTTCTTAGGAGTGTTTTTTGTGGCATAAGGAGTCTTTGCTTTGCACAAGTTTATGAAAATATTCTTCTGTGTTTTGATTCTCCTTTTTTTCAGTGAGAGTTCTGTGGTCCTCCTTGAATTCGTTTTTTTTTTTTTTTTTTACTGGTTTATTTATTTCTTTAATTTTATAACAGTTTATTTTTACACCATTTTGTACATTTTTTTCCCCATCTCAATTGTAAACCCTGCAGGTTTCCCATCACCAAGTCACCCGTGTGCCATCATTATCCCGTGCACTTCCCTCACCCCCCCACCCCCGTTTTTGATCCCATTCCCCACAAAATGTCTCTGGTATATGGTTGTTCATTATTCTTGTTATTTTCTCGCCTGGTCCATTATACTCCTGAAATTCATTTTGAGTATGATTTGAATGAGGTGTAGGGGTTGAAGTTCAATTCCCATGTACTTTTTTTAAAGACATATTTATGCATACAGAACTGGGGTACAGGCCAGAAGGGTGGGGTGAGAGGATTCACCAGAGACAGTGGGGAGCAGGACAGGCCGATAGATGAAGCACACTGCTGAGGGGAGCAACGGGGAGACAGGAGAGGTCTGCTGCGCCCTGTGCGTCAGCTCCGGGGCTGGGGTGGAACTCATGCTGAGGCAGTTTGACTTCCTGGCTTCACAGTGCAGCACCCCAAAGCGCTGCGTCCCCAGGGAGGCCCTCCATGTTTAACAGCACTTGCAGCACCAGTGTTTGAAGAATTGCCTTTCTCTCTGGATTTGACTTGTTGCTTTCGTCCAAAGGGAATTTCTTCTCTGTGCAGGGCTGTATGTGACTTTGTTCTGTTCTCCTGGTCTGTTTGTCCTGAAATCAGCCTATGGTGTTGAGCACTGTAACTCTCTGAACAGTCTCACATTTAAGTAGTATAAGTTTGCTTTATGTTTCACGTTTTCTTTTTCCTATTCTTTATGTCCTTTTAAAATTACACATCAACTTGAGAATCAGCTTACAAGTTTGTATCAGGATAACCCACTGGGATTTTGAGTACGATTGCATTGAGGTGCTGTTTCGAACAACGGCTGGTGACAGGACTTTGTGTTTCAGTCCATATATCCAAGACTCACCTGTGTCTATCTAGGTCGTAATTTCCCTTGGCGATATTTTATGTGTTTTAGTGCAGAAGTTGCACATATTTTATGTGTTTTATCTTTTTAAAGGATTTTTTGATGCTCTTTGTCATTAATTTCCAAATATTTTCTAATTATTGCTAGTGTGTACAAATAAAATGATTTTGTGTATTGTCTTTATAGTATCAGACCTTGCTAATAAATTCGCCTGTTTTTTTCAAGGGCTTTTTTTTTTCTTTTTTGGTAAGGTTTTCTGTTTAAAAACAGTTTGTCCTCTGGGAATGAAGAGTTTTAGTCTTTCAGCCTTTGTTTCTTTTTCTTCTTGTATTACGCTGTCGAGGAGCCCCCGTGTGTTGAGCGGCAGCGCTGAGAGGAGCTGTCTTCCCCACGCCGCAGCCTGCCCGCAGAGTTGTTACAGCCTGCTGTCAGGTTGAGGGGCAGTTCTTGATGTTGTGTTGTACAGGTGTCTTGTTTGAAATCACGAACGGGCTTTGGTTGTTGCCACAGGTTTTCCTGTAGCTATAAAGGTGACCATGTGGCGTTTCTCCTGTTAACACAGTCATTCATTTTCAGAATGTTAAATCTTAACCTATGATAAGCCACACTTCGTCTTCTGTATTCATATATTACTGGATTCAATTTGATAGGAACTTGCTAGTCTAGGAAAAGGAATTTTTGTTTCTTTGTTAGTATATAGATTTTAGTCTAAACTTTTTAGACTAACTCTTTCCTGTTTGCTCTGTTTGCCCTTCCTGTTCTTCATGCCTATCTGCATTTTCCTGGCTTCCTCCTGGCGCTGTGTCCTCAGGTTGCAGGACGCCCTACAGTTTTCTGTTTTATAGTGACTTATCTGCTGATGAATCCCCTTAGCAGTCATCTACTTGGCTGGAAATCTCTTTATTTTCACCTTCAGTTTTAGAAGATGTTTTCTGTGAAGCTAGCGTTTTCCAAGGATATAGAATTTTAGATTGATTCTTTTTTCTTTCAGTTTAAGACGAGATGCAGCGACACTGTCCTCCAGGTGGCTTTTTCCTAAAGGGGGAGCCCGTCATTCCACCGCCCGGAAGGTTTCTCTTAGCCTGGCTGAATTTTTTTCTGTTTGTGTTAACTTTTGCAACAGTTTGAAAAATTGTGCCCCTAGATATAGGTTTCATTGTATTTATTTTCTTTGGCATTTGCTGAATTTGTGCTGAGATTTTCCATCAGTGTTTGAAATGCTGCAGACGCTGTCTTTTCAAATACTTGCTCTTCTTCAGTCTTTCTTTTCCTTCTGGGTCTCCAGTACTTCTATTTATCACACGTATAAATGTTTCAGTGAATGTGTTACTTTAGGAGTCTGATTTATTTATTCTGTTTTCTGTTTTGTTTGGATAATTTCTGGACTTTGTCTTCTAACTCACCCGTTTGTTTCCTGTTGCTGAATCCAGTCTGCTCTTCCTCTTCATGGGAGTTTTCAGTGGATTCTTCATTTCTGATTTGCATTATTTAGTGCTAGCATTTCCATTTAAGAAAAGTTGCTTTTCTAAAATTTCCCATCTACTCACACACGTCTCCCTTTTGAACTAAATCCTTTAATCTGTTACAGCCACTTTAGAAGACCAGGCTACCAGTTTCAACATCTGGGTCATTTGAGATGGGTATACATCGTGCTCCCCCTCAGAAAGAGCCATGCTTCCCGCTTCGCCCCCAGCTTGGGGCTGAGTCAGCCTTGTTTTGGAGTAGCTGAGCCAGGCTTGTCTCATTTGCTTGTTTGACTTAGATTCTGTTCTCCACTGTCTCCACCGGATGCGAGGGTGGGAGCAGCCTGTCCTCGTAGGTGGCAGTTGTAGAGACTGGCGAGTTCTGTACACATTACTGCCCTGCCAGCCCCTGTCCTCCTAATTTTGTGTCTCCAGGGTCCGCTGTCCATCCTGTCGCTTCACCCCTGGCCTGGCAGTGTCCTGGGAATCTCTGGGCTTACCTGCCTGGCCCCACCCTTCTGCCTGCCCTCACACAGCTGTTAGCAGTTGGCTCAGCTTCGGGCTGGACCTCCTGCACCCAGGTCTGTGACTTTTGCTCCTTTTCCCACCCCGCTTTCCTTCTCTCCTACGGAAGACTTTTCATTTTCTAGAGTTTAATTGATTCAGACTTCCTTGAGTCTTCAGCTCTCTGATGGGCTTTTTAAAAAGCAATGAATTTTGTGGCTTTTCCTGGCTCCTTCTTAGTCTTAGTGAGCGCAGTGGTGTCTCAAATTCCTAGAAGCAAAAGTCCAGCAGAGCTATTCTGAGTAAATTCATAGTGTTTGTAGGAATTTTAAGTGCTCTACTCTTACCTGCTGAAAATGAGTTTCTAGAAAATCTCCACATGTTAAGGTAAGGTGTTGCTAAATATGTTTTCTAAAGGATGTATGAGTACCTTGCCTTTAATTCTTTAGTCTCAGTAGGAGCAGGCAGGGTAGGCTGGCAGCTCTTCGCTTGGCGTGCGCCGAGCGAGGCCCCCGCTCCAGTGCCCCGTCCTGGAGGAAACGTGTCCGGCCCAAGCTTAGGTGCGCCAGGCGGGCAGGGGCTGGCTGGGCTGGCAGAGGGTGGGCACACCAGTTGTGATGGCTCAGGCTTGGTGGACTTCTGTTGAATGTTCTTTGCTGTTTTTATGACCTGTAAAAGTACGGAAGCCATCTCTAGCAGGCCCCGGGCCTGTTCTCTGACCCTGGTGATCTTTATTGTAACGTTTGGTTTCCAAGTTGTGTTGAATTTCTGTAGCTACAGTGCATTCAGAACAGTAATGTGTGAAGATACAGAGGATCTGACTATTAAATGCTCTTTCATGAAGGGCTTAGCCTTTTTTTCTTCTTAAAGATTTTTTTGTATAGAACTTGGATGCAGGGGATGAGAAGATTTACCAGAGACAAAGTGCGGAGCAGAACAGGTGAATCTACTAAAACCCACTGCTGAGAGGAGCAGTGGGGAGACCAGAGGTCTGCTGTGCCATTTTGTGGGTCTCTCCCTGGCCGGGGGTCGACAGCACTGAGATGTAACCCCTGCACCATCTGGGAGACCAGAAGGCCTTGACTTTTCATGCATTTAAGCATATTTGAAGTTGTATAAACATTCACGTGTTCCATCAAGTTTAGAGAAGGTCTTTTTTCTTTATTTCCTTTAGGAGTATAAGCCACCAGCAACCCGTAAACTCCATAATATTCTTGGAGTAGAAACAGGAGGGCCTGGCGGGCGTCGTGCTGGGGAGTCGGGTCACACGGTAGCTGACTACTTGAAGTTCAAAGACCTCATTTTAAGGATGCTTGATTATGACCCCAAAACTCGAATTCAACCTTACTACGCCCTGCAGCACAGTTTCTTCAAGAAGACAGCCGACGAGGGCACAAACACCAGTAACAGCGTGTCCACGAGCCCCGCCATGGAGCAGTCCCAGTCCTCGGGCACCACCTCCAGCACCTCGTCCAGCTCAGGTCTGCGCCCTCGGGCTCTGCCACGCTGCGGCTTCTTCCCAGGAGAAGGGGCAGTTTTAAAGCTTCCCTAAGTCTTGCTGTGATGGGGTGGGGAAGAATTATTTTGCCTAAATCTATTCTTTGTAGTTAGTAGAATTCATCCACCTCCCCCAAAGCCCCACGCCTCATTATGCATGTAGTGAGGTCTGAGTGGGGTTGGAAACAGAACTCTTTATGACCCAGAACTTAAACTGCTTTTTAAATGGGCTACTTTGTCCATGTACTTGAATTTCCTAACATAACGGAGTTGATGGTGGTGTGGTTCACGGGTCTTGTGAAAGACTTAAGAGAATCAGGCGACTTTCTGATGGACTTCAGTCAGTGGTGTGTCTGTGATTTACTTTCGGTGTTCCTGTTACACTTGGAATATAAACATGAGCAAAATGAGTGTGAAGCTCACAGGTTTATTGGGTTGTGACTTCAGGTGGATCGTCAGGGACGAGCAACAGTGGAAGAGCCAGGTCGGACCCAACGCACCAGCATCGGCACAGCGGCGGGCACTTCACAGCTGCTGTCCAGGCCATGGACTGTGAAACCCACAGTCCCCAGGTGAGCCCCCCGCCTGCGCCCCCCCTCCCCCCCATCCTCCCCGCCACCTGCTGTGTGACGGCTGGAGGGGCTAGTGCTGAGTGTCTTCACAAGGATTTTGTTATTTCCTCATTTATAAGTAATTACAGCGCCTGTTTATCATTAAAGAAGCACCTACTTGCCATTTTTGCCCTTTTCATATAGAAACAACTAGTACTTCCTGGGTGTGTGCCCACCTCTGACCCCGAGGGTCTCTCCTCTCCACCTGTTACTGCAACAGGATTTTGAGCTTCGCACCGTTTTGATTTTCATTTTACTTGAAAACAGACTTCATGGATTGGGTAACTTTCCTCCTCTGCCTTCGTAATTACTTTGCCGCTTTCCATGTTTTATCACTGACTGTTCTAGTTTCTAAATCAGTTTGTGGTTTGATTTTAGCAAACACAGCCTCCATGTTGTTTTGGTTTTTGCGTTGAAAGTTCTAAAGCAAAGAATCTAATTGGATGTGTTTTAAAAATTGGGCTGAGGCGGATGGTTGAAAATACTTACTAAATAACTTTGCAAAATAATAAGTTAATCCATACCGAGTACTGAGTTTTGTAATGGGAGGCCGTGTGCTGCTTGACGAGTGAAGTAACGCTGAAGTGCATCACCGCAGGCCCCTTCATGCCACGGGGCTGCTGAATGCATCTGAGATGGTCGCACTTGCCTGCATGTTGCTCCCGCTGTTGCTTAATAGCATTCACCAGCCTCTGCTGGGGCAGCTTCCCTGGGCTGCAGCCGCCTTCCACCAGCCTGGCGACTAAAGCCTTTCCACTCGTGCCTCCCGTCGGCCTGTGAGTCCCCGAGCCTGCCCAGTCTTAGGCAGAGCCTTTCCCTGGCCAAGTCGTTCACACCTTTGGTTTCTGCCGTCTGGAAACTGTTCTTCCTCTGGGAGGGCTCGTTGGCCTGCTCCAGCCCAGGCCCGCCCTCTCCCTGGAAGGCGTTCTTACAGGAGTCACCCCAGCGGATGCTCGAATTGCTTCTTTCTCCCCACTGCTCAGTGCCATGTGACAGTGGAACCCCCTGCTCTTGAACTCGCTCTTCTGCTTCCTGACAAGCCACTCCCTCCTTTCCCCACTTCTCTGGCCTTTCCTTTACTCTCTCCTTTTTTCGATTCTCTTCTTCCCACCTTGATTGGTCAGGTGTGCCTGTGTTCTTTCTCTTCTCCTCTGCCTCCCTGGTGACTGTTGGTGCCAGCTTCTTAAATCACTCTTCAGTCTGCATTTCTGACAGCAACTTAGCTGCAAGCCCAGGGCTTCTGTGGCTCACAGTGCTCTATGAACATCATTTCGGAGCTCTCAGCAGCATGATAGTGCAGGTGCATTACATGCATTGACTTCATCCCCCGTCGTATCACCTGCCTTTTATCCACCCTTTGTACAGACGACTAAGTTCACTCACTCGCTCCAGTCATGCATGGGGGCCAGGGAGTGAGTCCTGACTCCCCTCGCCCTCAGCCCGCATGGAATCAGATAGTAGATTGTGTCCTCCAAGAATCCTAAATACCTTCTGGTATTCTACTCCATCTCCCATGCTTGCTGCAACCATCTCTAGCCTGTTCTGAAGAATATTCTAGCTGGTTGTCCAGTGTCTTGTTCTTTTACCAGGCCTTTCCTCTTCAGCTGAGTGAGTGTTCAGGAGTGCAGTCTAGTCTGGCTCAATTCTTGTTTCCTTGTACTGACACAAATCGAGACTTCTGTGGTGCTCTCGGTGACGCCCACGATCTGACTGCTCACCGGCCCTTTGCCTTCTTGGCGCTCACACTGGTCCCGGGGTGTGTTTGGTGTGCTTCTCGAAGCTCCTTGTGGCTGCTGTGCTCAACCTGGAACACGGCTTCCCTCCCTCTTGGCTTTGGTGACCACTGTTTCTGCAGCAAGTCTGAGATGTCACTCCTCTCTAACCATCCCTAATTGTGTGAGCAGCGTTTCCTCCCGCCCTGCCCCCGTCCTCCCAGATAGGTTAGGACTGCTGCATGAGACACTTGGGTTCATCCTGCCTGCATTTAACATTTTGCCTTGCTTGTCTCAAATCCTAAAAATTTTGAATAGTTGATATATTCTTATGTTAAAAACAAAAGAAGCAAACAAAGGTCAGTGACTTTTCAGTGAAAAGCCTTCCCTCCCCTCCCACTTCTAAATTGGCATTACTTGGGCTTTGCGATTCATGCATATTGTAAACTTACATGAACAAACATGCCTCACCTGGCTGTCATGCCCAGGTAGGTGGGTGCTCGAGTCTCTCGGCCGGGATGGCCATTGCGTCCCCGGCGACCCTGCCAGGCATCCTCTCACCCCACCGCGTAGCCACAGGAGATGGTGCTGTGAAGTGGCCCAGCAAGTGTTTCACACGCTCAGCCCACACATGCGCAGTCACCTGTGCCATGAGCTCCTGGGTGTGAAACTGTGGAGACACTGAACACCTGTGGTCGGAAAGCTGCTGCCAGTTCAGCTGCCCAGTTAGAGGGTCTGGAGAGTCCCCCACCACAGGCCAATGCGGAAAACCGTAGAGGCTTATTCTTCTTATTTCTTATGTGTGAATTTGAGTAGCTTCCTAGTCTAAGACCCATTAGAATTTCCTCAGAATTTGTGCCCTTTTTTTCCATTATATTTTTTCCAAGAGCATTTCTTGAATGTTCGTTCTCAGGCCACCTTTGCCAAGTGGATGCTTAAAGATTGTGCCACCACCGGCAATGAGATATGCTTTGTCTTCCCAGAGCTGGTAGGCACGGACAGGAGTTAGATGAGTAGAGGTCGCAGGTGCCATGCTTGCTAGAGCGTGAGGCAGGTTAAGGCGATGGGCAGAGACTTGTATGGGGTTTGTCCATTTTCTCGGGCCAGGTGGCTTCAGGAAGCCCCCGACAGGCTGGCCTAAGGAGCGTGACAGTGTGACACTCCGGCGGCATTTGGTCGGCGGCGCGGCTCCTGTCCACCGTGGCCTGTCCTCTGGCAACCCCTCCGCCTGCGAGCCTGACTGCCTGCCGCGTGCAGCACACAGGAAGACCTCGGGGTTATTTGTGGTCGTGGCCATTCGTTCACATTCCACTGATGACAGCTTGGTTGTGTGTACACACCTGAGCTCGGGGGAAGCTGGAAGTGCCGAGCAGTGCCGAGCAGCGCTGTGCTCTGGAGCAGCCTTGGCCAGAGCGAGCGGGAGCCGCTGCAGCGGAAGAGACCGGGCTGGAGCCTCCAGGCTCCAGGGGACCGGCGAGCCCGGTGCGGGGCCTCGCACAGGGCTGTGGGAGCCCTGGTGTGAGGAGAGAAGGCAGCGAGGGGACGCCGAGCTCTGCCAGGCAGCGGGCACCGTGCGGGCTTGGGGTCAATTTGTTTCCCTAAATGCGCTGACAAGTTACTAAAAGAATTTAAAATAGGAAAGTGACTGGTTTTGTGTCTTGAAGCAATTATTTTTGCTGTTCTTTGGAAAATGGCCCTCAGGAAGGCCAAAAGTGAATGGGAGCGTAGCCAGGAGCTGACTTAGGAGGCCCCATGTCAGTGGGCAGGAAAGGACGGCGTCCAGGGGTACTGGTGGCAGAGCAGAGGGGAGAGGCCGGAGAGGCCTCTGCCGAGGTGAACTTGCTGGCGTTCAGCACAGCCACCCGAGGCCGGCGTGCCCACTGAGGCGGGGAGGGCCTTCAGGGGTCGAGAGAATTCCTTCAGCTCTGGCTCTGCACAGCAAAAGCTTGCTACCCTTTGCATAAACGGTGCCCCCCAGGAATGAGAGGGACCAGGGAAATTTGAGCCTGTTTACCGGTATAACTTGCTAGAAATTGCATAGTCACTTGTATAGTGAAGTGTGTTTAACTCCCGAAACACGGCCTGTGTTGGAGTCTGCAGTGCAGAATACTGCGACACGTCACTGCAGGGCCTTCTCGGAATTACTGAAGACAGTGGTGCTGCAGGTTTTGACGAAAGGGGACAGCTTGCAAGCAGTACTTTGAGTAAATCTTTTCAAAATCTGTCCACGCAGGTGCGTCAGCAATTCCCTGCCCCCCTCGCTTGGTCAGGCACTGAAGCTCCTACTCAAGTCACTGTTGAAACCCATCCCGTTCAAGAAACGACCTTCCATGTAGCCCCTCAGCAGAACGCACTGCATCATCACCATGGGAACAGCTCCCACCACCACCACCACCACCACCACCACCACCACCACCATGGACAAGCCTTGGGTAACCGGACCAGGCCAAGGGTCTACAATTCTCCAACGAATAGCTCCTCTACCCAGGATTCTATGGAGGTTGGCCATAGTCACCACTCCATGACTTCCCTGTCTTCCTCAACTACTTCTTCCTCCACATCTTCCTCCTCTACTGGTAATCAAGGCAATCAGGCCTACCAGAACCGCCCGGTGGCTGCTAATACCTTGGACTTTGGACAGAATGGAGCTATGGACGTTAATTTAACCGTCTACTCCAACCCCCGCCAAGAGACTGGCCTAGCCGGACACCCAACATACCAATTTTCCGCTAACACAGGTCCTGCACATTACATGACTGAAGGACATCTGACAATGAGGCAAGGGGCGGATCGAGAGGAGTCCCCCATGACGGGAGTTTGTGTGCAACAGAGTCCTGTAGCTAGCTCGTGACTAAATTGAAACTTGAGTTTGTTTCTTGTGTGTTTTTATAGAAGTGGTGTTTTTTTTCCAAAAAAAAACAAAGTGCAAAGCTGCTTGAATCAGAAGGAGATGAACACACTGAACCGCTACAAGAGGGCAAAGCTGACTTTTTTTTAACTTGAAAAGATTGCAGAGGGACAGTGAAGTTTTTAAAAGAGCCATGTCCAAGCCCATCTTCACGGATAGCTCGGAGGGTCCTCTCTTTGCCTCCCCATTTCAACTCGCCACAGCCCAGTCATAGTGGGGTTTTTTTGGTCTTTCTAGTCCACAAAAGTTACTGTTCAGATGTTGGCCTTGGTCACCTGCCGACTAGTTTCCCAAAGGCGCTGCACACGGTGTGCATCAAGGGCCCCGGGAGGGGCTTTCCTTTCTTATTTTCTTTTTTTTGGGGGGGGGGGGGGGGTTCCGTTTTGTTTGGGGGGGTGGGAGATTTGGGTTTTTAAGTCCTAAACACACTTGGGCACGGAAATGCAGTGCTGTAAGGAAGAGGGACCTCCAGCTTGCACAAGCATCACCTCCAGCTGTACGGAAGGGTCGGTCGTGTGGGCCCGTGAGGCGCCGGAGCGTGCTGAGTGGCGGGGTCAGGACTCCTGTCTGGGCCTACCGGCGAGCCAAGCGGCAGTCACGGGGATCCGGCGGCTTCCTGTGGTCGAGGCCACGGCGCAGTAGCGGTGGAGCGAGACTGGCCTCCTGACAGAGGTGCACTGAGAGGCAATCACGGGTCGGGCGCGGCCAGTCCCGGGAGGCCTGAGTGGTGGTCTTTGGGGTGACCTTTGGCCTTATGGATTGGACTCGACATGAGAAGAGCCTACCATTTCAGATGCAATCACTCTTGGACATGCTTTCGCAGACAGTCCTTAATGCTGAAAACACAGAGAATGGGTAATTCAAGAGGCCTTTCTTTTAAATAGACTTCGGTGACCCACTAATTGTAAGGTATTGCAAGGTCACTTTGCGTGTGTCATAAAGTTGACTTCCTTATTGGTTGAAGGTCACAGAAGTAGTGGTTTGCTTTGATGGAAATAGCTACAGCTGTGTCCCTTCCTGCTTTTTACTTTTTTCTTTTGCTTTTTCTCAGCACGTGGTATCTCCACCATTTCTTCTGCACAAAGATGTCTTCTGTTCATCCTGAACATTTTTAAAAAATGCAGAATTTTATGTGACTGCTTTTTTGCCTCACAATTATGCTGTGAATTTTACAAAAATTTATTTTCTTTTTTGATAATTTATTGTACCAAAGCTGTTTTTATAGCACATAGATGTCTGTAACCAATAATGTAGCAGTTCTGCACTTTGACACAAGGCGTAACTAGACCATTTTAAATGTCAGTTGAGAATTATGGCTGTACTATTGCTTAAACAAAACTGGAACTGCTGTTGAACCCATAGCCAACCCACTTACAGCACTCTGTGTACTGAACATGTAGAGCGCCACCTAACTCGAGATCACGACATCTGCTCCATTCTCGGTGTGCTCAGGCTTCTGAGGTAAAGGGACACTGGATGCAGGCGCTGCGGACCCAGCAGCCGACTCTTGTTTTCCTGACTAGCCTCCTCGCGAGCGCGCAGGCGGGTCCTCGCCGCACGCTCAGGTCCGGAGGGCGAGCGGGAGTGAAGCATCAGGTCGCGCGTGACCTGAGGTGAAGGCTGGTGTTTGACAAACAGGTGCCTAGTTTTGAGATGATGCTGCCTTAATGTAACACAGTCTGGCAGTCGCTAAATTTGTGTTCCCATTTAAACTGACCAATTTGAGGGCGTTACACTTTTGAGTGGTTGAATTGGGAGAATGAAGAGAAGTGATTTTTACCTGTCCAGGATCAAAAGAAGCCTAGAAAAGAAGCAGTAATCTACCTCTGCCGTAACCTGTCAGAACACTCAGCAGAACACCACAGTACTCTAGATTGGTCGATTCTATGTGGCTGACGAGGCCATTTTTTTCTGATCAAAAGCAGGTTTTTATATGTAAACAGTGACAGAAGAAAGGCTTAAACCTCTGTGAATGTGAATGGAAACTTGGAAATACTCGTTTTTATAAACCACACATTTTTTTTGTTGTTAATCAGGAAATCCATATTTATTTTGTAATTAAATGTCAAGCCTGTGGATGACTTAAACTTGGTAGTTCCTGAAGGTTTCCCGTGAATAAAAGGATGTCATCTGGAGAATAGCAACATCGAGAGGGATCCACTACTTACTGCTGTCTCGGGATCTAAGGTTAAGAGAGTCTATGGGTCAGGTCATTTTTTTCTGTGCTGGTTGCCACATCTTAGCAAGCACCAAAAAAAAATAAAAAGCCGTTTTTAAACCGCTGCTCACATAAAGGGAATCATAAGCCCAGTGCGCTGCATACTGTGTTATGTTACAGTCCAGTTTTGTGCTTTACTACACGGTTTGGTTACAGGACTTCTGTGCATTGTAAACATAAGCAGCATGGAAAAGGTGAAATACCTGTGTGCAGATGTAAGATCTGGTCCGGACTTGCTGTGTATATTGTAACGTTAAATGAAAAAGAACCCCTTTGTATTATAGTCATGCGGTCTTATGTATGATAAACAGTTGAATAATTTGTCCTCAGACTCTTTACTATGCTTTTTTAAAATTAATTTAAGAAATATGTAAACAGAGTAAAATCTTCCTATGCAATTAACCTGACCCAGGTAATGGTCTGCTAGGTACACGGAGTGTGAGTCCAGTCAAGTGTGTGAGAAGACAGTAATCAGGCCCGCGGAGGCCCCAGAGTCTCAGGCAGTCGACCGCGGGGGTGCATCAGGTCATTTCCATCTCCCAGGGGCCTGGAGTCGCACATCCTCCTGAACCAAGGCGCTGGCATCACAGTGTTCGCAGCGGCCGCGGGAGGTGGCTCGTAGCCTGACCGGCCCCGAGCGGCCGTGGGCTGGAGCAAGCCCAGCATCGCTCTTCCTCCTGCCCCCCTGCCCCCAAAGTCTAGAAAGCCTGCCACAGTGAACGAATTCCCGACGACAGTGACCTTTCTTCATAAATACACCTGCACAGCTGTGTCTGACGCTGGCTGTCGGAAGGCAGAATGCTTCAGAACTGAGCCTAAAACTCAGGGGCGCCTGGAGTTGCATCTCCCACATGCAAGAAGGGGAAACTCTAGTTTTTTCCTAGAGTGAGAATTTTACTTACCCCGGGCTTGCTCTTGGCGACTGTGCATCCTGTGTGAAGAGCCAGGCCCAGCCTCCGTCTGCCGGCTGGGAGGGCGGAGGGGAGAGCCTGGCGAGGCTGCAACACCCCCCCCCTCCGCCCGCTGCCCCGCCCTCAGGGCCCATCCCAGCCGCCTTCACGCTGTGTTTGCCGCGGTGACCAGTGCTAGAGGCCAGACGTGCGTCCCAGGGACGGGGCTGGGTGCAGGGCCACGGAGGGGGGAAGTTTGGAGGTTCAGGGTTATCTGAAGACAGCTGTGCTTTCGGTGTGCTGAGTCCGTGTGACCTCCCTCGAGGCCTACTAGGGACCGCGGTGGCCCCGCGCTGGGAGCCCCCGGTGTCAGGAAGGGGAGAGTAGTGGTCCCTACAGCCCTGGCAGTCTCTGGGGCTTGTTTCCTAGGGTGGAAACGGGCAAGGAATTCTCAGTACAAAGAAAAGAGGAAAAGCACGCTGACGGCGGCTTGCACCAGCGAGCCTGACGCCGTTGGGGCTGTGGCTTGTGAGGTAAGTGGTTCACGGGCCCAGCGCCGCCTGCCCGCGCCGGGCAGCGGGAAGAACCCGGGCGTGGCATTGTCGCGTCCTGGATAACGTTCACCTCGAGGCCAAGAGTGGAAGCTATTTGTCATCTTTAATTTTTTCCGATTTCTTACTTTGAATCTTCAAAGACAACAATCTCCATTTTCAAGTGTGGCTTAAATTCAGTGAGTTCCTTGAGCCTCAGGGTTCAGTGCTTCACCTGCCTGAGTTCACCCACCTTGAGCAGATGACCGTAGGCTGAAAACCCGGGGGGCTGTGAGGGGGGCCGGGCGCCTGCACCAGCCTCCTGCCCCCTGCCCACCCCGGCTTCGTCCAGGTTGGCAGGCTTCCAGGCCTGAGCACTTGGGGAAGACCCCGCGTGGGGGCTGGGGGAGGGGCTCAGGGCAGGGGGCGGGGGCGCCCACGGACCAAGGGCCCTGGAGGGTCCGGACGCCACACGTCCCGACGCCCGTGTGCCCTGCGCGCTTTTTGTCGGTCTGGAAGATCGCAGTGGATTTGAATGATTTTCCGATTAAATGTTGAAAATTGATACCTTTGGGTTTTTATTTTATTCGTATACGTCTTCCAGTACCATTCGTCACTGGTGACCCCGAGTGCTTTGTGCAGTCAGGTGGTGGGGGGCTGGGGGTGGGGGTGGCCACAAAGGCCAAGTGGTGCTGCGGACAGTGGTGGGGCCGGGGCCGGGGCCGGCCAACTCCTTGGAAACTGAAGTCTTCTGATGGCCAGCCAGGGCGGTTATTTATGTGTTTAAATACATTGGACCCTCAAGGAGCGAAACTTTGCTCACCGCAGACAGGCATTCCTGGTTGGGGGCGCAGGCAGCTCCCCGGGGCGGGGAGGGTGCTGGTGGCTCACTGCTCACTGCTCACTGCCCGCTGGCTCACTGCTCACTGCTCACCCCCCCAGGACAGCGTTTGAAAGGCCCCTAGCTGACCTTCCCTGCCAGGTAAGGTCCTCGGCCACTTCGGCCAGGCGTGCTCGACCCTGCTGCCAGCGGGCTCGCCCAGGACCTCGCCCACCACAGAGGTGCCAGTCATCCCCGGACGCTTGGCGCAGAGCTGGCGCTTTGGGACAAGATTCGCCGGTGGTTCTGCGGCTCCAGAGGAGGCGCGCGGGCAAAGCCCAGCCGAGTCTGACCCGAGCGCTGCGAGAGGCCGCTCTGCCAGAGGAGAAGCGTGCGCGAGGCGCAGGCCGGCGCGTGGACACGCGCACGTGCGCGCACGAGCCACAGCGTGCCCGGGAAGCATTGCCAGGGCTCCTGCGGAGCGGCCGGAGCGCCCGGCGTTCGCCCTGTTCGGTTTGGCCGCTGCACCGTCGGGAGAGGCTTGGTGGTCTATCCGCAGCTGCCAAAGGTCGGGGAGGGACAAGGCCACCCCTCACGGAGTCCCCCTGGGGGTCGAGTGGGGGTGGGGGGGCGAGCGCAGCACTGGGCAGTGGTGGTCAGTTCCTGCCCCTGCGCCTGCCCTGAGCCAGCTGCTTCCTGGGACAAGCTGGTGATGACGTCCGTCCGGGTCTGGGGGTTCGTGCACGGCTCCCCGCAGCGTCCTCCCTGACTCCCGCGCCGAGGCCGCAGCGCGGGCCACGCGCTCTGCCCAGCGCCGTCTGCGGTGGACCTGGCGGGAGTCGGACTGCGGACGAGTAAACGAGGACTTGGCGTGTTCTTCCCGCAGCGTTACTTCCCGGACAGGAGTGTTTGTTGAGGCTCCTGCGCGGTCCCTCGTCCCCGGAGAATGCGCGGGGGCCGTAAGTTTGCTTTGGCAGCAGGCGTGTTTACATGCTGCGCAACGGGCAGCGGGCAGACCTCTCTGCAGCTTCGGGGAGGCTTTGGGGTTGGGGGGGCGCTGTGGAGAGGGCTGGCTGGTGGTGGGGCCTCCACTGCTCCCCGGCGCCCCCGACAACACCCCCTCTCGCCCCCGCCACACACACACACACACCAGGCAGCAACTTTATAATCCAACGACAGTTGAAGGAAACCAAACTCGCGCTTCTGCCGTCTCTGAGGTTTCGTGGTCAGCAGACATTCGACTTAGGGAGAAAAGGGTAAGTGAGACTCAGCCCCAGCATTAACCAACACTAGCTGCGGGGAGGCCCTTGAACTTAACAGGGAGGAACCCGCGTTTTGAAAGTATTGGGGGCCCGCTGCTCCCTCTCACTTTTCTTTGTTAATGTTACATGACTGTACAACCTCTAGCTTGGGGGCCCAATGGGGTCCCTTGTCATATCTAAGTCACCTCCCCCATTTCTTCCACCACTCAAGACAAACATTGCTTTGCACAAGTCTGACCACTTGTATAAGAAGTGACCCTGGGCTCCTCAGAACATTCCAGTTAGCCAGGCTGGTGGCTGGTGGCTGTGAAGGAAGAGGGCTTAATCGTGGCTTTCAAGTCGTCACCTGGATTGCTAAAATTTGTTTGGGAGGTTTGAGATCTTCACACTCCTAAGATCCCAAACCGCCTGGACAGTCCTGGACCCCAGAACCCCGTCGGCCTCTGTGGCTCTGGCCCCCGCTGCGGCTCTGGGCTGCAGCCGGCTCTGTCCTCCGCCCCCACAGTGGCGCAGGAAGCTCTCAGGCCCACGGGCGCTGCACTGTCTGGGGGGCCGCTCACCATGCTCCCACTCGGGTTTACGGGTCCCCAGGTCTGGGTGCTGGGGAGACCCCCCTCCCACACACACACTATCACCTTCCCCAAGCTGCGTCCCGCCCTTCGTGATGGCCATGACCTCAGCCTGTCAGGGGCTGTCCCCTGGCCCCCAGGGGTGCCCCGATAGCTCCCCCACTCACTTAAGAGGAGGACCGTCCTGCTGGAGGAGGGCGACTGGCAGGAGCAAGAGAAGGGAGCCCTCCTCCCTGGGGGATGAAAGTGTCCCCGCTCTGTCCCAGGACGTTCCAAGCAGAAGCCTAGAAGCTGATCTTATAAGACTTCAAACCTAAGGTCCTCTTAGCAGGGCTGAGGGGTGTGTTGGCACAAGAAAGCACTGGTCGAGCAGCCCTCAGCTTCCTTTGTTCACATTAGGGTTCAACTGAGGTGCAGACGTTGCATTTAATTCTGTTGCTTACGTCTCCTTAAATTTAGAAGTTTTGTCACGGGTAATAGAAATGTTTCTCTGCCCTAGTGAATTTTACTGGTTTTGATTTAAATCTTTGATAGATTTAGAATTTATCCTACCAGTCGTTGTGAGGTGTGGGATCAATTTTATATTTTCCCAAATGATTATGTGGTGTTCTAACACCATTTCAAAAAGCCCTTCTTTCCTCAATTAGTTAAAGGATTTACCTTTCTCATCTAACATATGGTAACTGTTATAATTGCTTGGATCATCTAATTTTCTAAAGTGTGCTGTTAGTTTTAAATCCATTCACCTGTCACAGCCGCGCTGTTTTAATTATAGGGGCTTTGAGGGAATGATTTAGCATTTGGTAAAAGTTTCCCCAATTCATTGTTCTCCCCAGGATTTTTCTTGTTACTTTTACTTAGAGTAGCTTCTTTCTCTTCTCACCCCACATGACCATTAGAATAAATGTTTCTAACTTCAGAAGAAAATTCTGTTGTTTAGGAATTGATTTGAGGAGAACGGACTGCTTTGATGTTGGCACATCTTGTCCAAGGACATGGTATGTCTCTTCATTTGTTAAATTTACTTTGTATCGGTTAAGAAAAATTTGTATACAATTCTTTAAAGTTTTACACGGAAGTATTTTTTTCTTTTTTGTTTCTGTTCTATGTGATAATTTCCTTTCTATTATATTTTATCAGTTATTACACAACTATATCAAAGCTCTCGAATCGTATGTTAATGGCATATCCTGCTGTCTATTAAATGCCCTCATTACTTTCAGCGGTTTGTCTGCGGAATTTTCCCATGTAACTTTTTACTATGTAATGATGAGATATGTTATATTTCTCGTCCAGTGTTTGTCTTTGTATTGTTCTTTCTTGTCTA